CACATTTGATAAGAGTTGTAATTATTCAAAGTTGCGCCCCTTTGTGGGGGAGGTACCAGAAGGACTGGACCGATCTGATTTTGAAAACAATTGATACTTAAAATAATCCAAAGCTTTTTTATTTATTTTTATTTATTAAATTTTGCTAAATATAGCTCAAAATATTGATGCCTTTTGTGTGTGGTAAGGTTATATAAAGGCATTAAAAAATGGCCTTAGAAGACAAATAGTTTGATGCTTCTTCTACAAATATTCACATTAAATATGCCACACCCCAGATTGGCTGTTGCATAGTGAAATTTGATGAAAAATTGCAGTGAATTCGAAAAGTGTGCTAATTTGTGGCAATTGAAAAAAGGTTTTATATAAATAAAATTGATTTAACCTCAGCCATTCTACAGAGGGTATATATCACTTGAATCAAGCACAACGTGCTTGCCTGCCGAAATAACGGTATTAGATCCTAGGTCTCTTTGGACCAAAAACGTTTCAAGACATTTGGAGTCGATCTAGGGGTGTCCATCCGTCAATCTGCCTGGTATGCATATGTTTTAAAAATAACTGGATTTTTCAAATTTATAGGCCATGACAGGGGTCGCTTCCAAAATTATCTAAAATATTTTATTTTTAAGTTGTTTTCTCTCTCCTTAAATTGGACATTCAATGCTATTGAAAATATGCTTCCGAAAACAACATTTTTTTAAGATGTCCAAAGTGTCAGTGAACATGAGTGGCTGCCATTGGCCACAAGCTTTGACAGCAGATAATCATCGCGGAACCACTATGGGCATAATAACACACACACATACACACAAATATACACACACATTGATTATTCAAGTTGTACCAAATAATGAGCACTCAGTCAGTCATTCATTCGCATGTTTTAATAGTGAATCAGCAAAAATCACTCACTAACTCGCCATCATTTGCGAGGTTTAGAAAATCTTCAGCCTAACAAAATACCACAAAAAATGTAAATATATACATATAAACACTCTCCAACAGGCAAATACAATTATATGAATATACAAATATTTTTTTGATTTTGAATAAGTTTGGTTGATAGTTTTGTCTACTCGCAAAATGTCGTAAATTAGGGTGTAATGGAAATCATAATCTCAAAATGTGAAGAATGAAATCATCTGCAGAAATCGAAAGAAATCACTGCTAAATAATTAGTTTCCTCATTGACAATCAACTTACTAATCTACATCTCATAATTAGATGTTCTTTGGCTGCCAACATATGTATAAATAATCATAGAATTTGTTTTATTTGTATACCCTCCACCATAACATGGAGGGTATATTAGGTTTGTCATTCCGTGTGTAACACATCAAAGTTATCATTTTAGACACTAAAATTTGGTACACACGTGTATTGGATAGATACGTGGATCAAATATAGGCCCCATACAACGGCATCCCCTCATGTTGAGCATTTCGACGATTTTCGTCACATTTTTTAACGGAATTGTCGGGAATTTGTTATTTGAAAACAAAACAAAAAAAGTTAATATAGGTTCACTTAGTGGTATATCTCCCATAAAACAGTATCACCCTATATTTGGTATTCTGATGGCTTTCCCCAATGTTTTTAACGGAATTGTCTCATATTTTGAATATGAAGTTAGTAATGGGTGTCTAACTGCCCTTCAAAATTGTTATACCCTCCACCACAGTATGGAGGGTATATTAACTTTGTCATTCCGTTTGTAACTCCTCGAAATACTCACGTCAGACCCAGCAAAGTATATATATTCTTGATCAGCATAAAATTCTAAGTCGATTTAGCGATGTCCGTCTGTGTGTCTGTCTGTTTTAATCACGCTATCTTTCGAACGAATTGAGGTAGAGGGCTAAAATTTTGCACACATATTTATTTTGCCAGTAGACAGGTTAAGTTCGTAAATGGGCTATGTCCGTCCACGTTTTCGTATAGCTCCCATACCACGGTATCTCCCGATATTCAGTATTTTGATGAATATTATTCACCGGAATCATTTCAAATTTCCTATTTAAAGTTAGTAATGGGTACTGCAGTCTATGACGAAAATTTTTGTATGCAGGTCCACGTTTTCGTATAACCTCCATAAAACGGTACCTCCCGATATTCGTTATTTTGATGATTTCAGCAATATTATTCACAGGAATAGTTTCAAATTTCGTATTGGGAGATGTTAATGGTTACTACAACCTATAGGAAAATTTTTTGTATGCGTCTTCGTATAGCCCCTATATAATGGTACCTCCCGATATTCGGTATATTGATGGTTTTAGCGACATTGTTCCCCGGAATTGTAACAAATTTGGTATTTGAAGTTCCTAATGGGTACTACAGCCTATGACAAAATTTCGTAAGCAGGTCCACGTCTTCAAGTTCATTTTGAAATTGTTCAAGTTCCTCCAAAATGGTGGAGGGTATTAAAAGGTCGGCCCAGGTCGGCTTTTTTAATTGTTTTTCTTTCGGTTTTAATATAGGTTCTTAATTGGACTTTGTATATATCATGGTTGAGGCTAAAGTTCGGCGAATTTTTTACTTTGTATTTCTTCTGTCATACAATGGAGGGTATATTTATTATTTCGTTTACAACATCCCGCAATATTCGTCGGAGACCCCAAAAACTTCATATATTCCCAATCAGAATAACATTAAGAGGCATTGTAGCGATGTTTGTCCGTCCGTCTGTCTCTTGAAATCACGATAGAGTACACATTATTTAATCTAGAGCTTTTTAATCTAGCACAAAGGTTTTTATTATATCCAGGCTGATTATCATTGAAAATGGGCTTTATTGGTCCACGCTAGGTATAGCCCCAATATAACGGTACCTCCAGATTTTCGGTATTTTGAAGGTTTCTGCCAAAATTTCCAACTGAATTCGATTAATCTTGGCAATTGGGTTTTTTGTAGGTATGTTATCTTCTTGCAAAAAATGATCGATTCAGATCCACTAATTGACATAGCCACCATATAACGGTACCTCTCGATTTTCAGTTTTTTTTTTTTTTGATGTTTTTTTTTTTTCTTCCCACAATTTCCAACCAAATCAGCTGAAGCATTACATTGGGATTCTTGAAAGGTATCTTCGCTCCTTGCGAAAATTTTTGATTAAGGCCCACTAAATGGTACAGCCCCCATATAATGTAACCCCCGATTTTAGATGTTTAGAAGGATTCTGCCACAATTTCGAACCATATTTGATGAATCTTGACAATTGAAATTCTCGGTAGTTCTATTCTCTTCTTACGAAAAATGTTCCATTTAGGTCCACTAATTGGGACAGACCCAATATAACTGTATCTCCCGAACTTCCGTATTTTGAAGGCTTTCTGCCAAAATTCTAATAAAATTGGATGATAATATGGGTTTTGCTATTTTTGTTGTTTTTTTTTTAATTTAAATTAAACGAATTGATAAACTAAGTTAACATATTCAAAAAAAAAAAAAAAAAGTAATAAAGCACCTGAGTTCGGTTACTATACGAAGACGAGGACCCGCAGATGCAATTGCCGATACGAAATTTAAAACAATACCGATGAATAAAGCCGCTAACATCATCAAAAGACAGAAAGAACGGAAGTAATAGTATGGGCTATATGAAGTCGTGGACCAGAATAGACAATTTTCTGTCGTGGGTTGAAGTATCAATTACGAACTTCGAAATGTGAAACTATTCCGATGAATGATGTAACATGGACCAACATAGCCCATTTACAAAAAAAATCTGCAAAAAATGTGCATAATCGTAGTCTTCTATCTCAAATCGCCAGAAAGATAGATAAGTTTATTTTATGGTGTGGTAGAGGGTATAAAAAAAAGGGATTTTTTTTTTTGAAATTTTCCGATTAAGATTTCCTTGAGCAATTGCATTGTAGGTACATGCTGTTTTCAGGAATACTACAGATACGATACCTTACTTTATGTGGGCTTATAAAAAACTAGAGAAGAAGAACATTATTTTAGAAGGATGATATCATATACCAATATATTCTTCATTAAATTTCACTGTAAGTCCCCAAAGGAAGAAAATCAATATTTCCACAACAAGTCAAAAAAAAAATATTTACATTACATAATTACGTTTTTGACAGTATAATCTGAGGCAAAATCTTCTTTAATAAGTTAATTTATGGTATATAATACCATTTTTTAAATAAATATAGAATTTTGCATTCTGATGGATCATTTCCAAATTTATGACCCAGATAAGCCCTCGTATAAACATTAATTTCAAGAGAAAATTCTCTCCACACCCTAAATTTCCCTCTACATCCTAATCCACTCTCTAGCTATCTCCATACATTTTTATGACCAAATATGCGAATAAAGTTTCAATTGAATGAATAGCCTCCACAAACTCACAATAGCTGTCCATTCGTCTCTCTGTCTGGTCGAGTGTTGGCATATCAAATGATGAGTGGCGGTGGCTACGGTACGTGCGTTTTTGGTGGTTTTGAATTGATCAAAAATAACACATATTTTGCGGTCCCAGCCGCTAAGTACCATTGCTGACTGACCCATTGGTCAGTTGGTGAGTGTGTTATGATATTCAAATGGATATTCCAAGTTGGCTGGATGATTCATAATCAAATTTATGTGAAAACAAAAACAATGGCTACAACACAATTTGGCAACATTTGTTGCACTCGAATGAAAATTTGTTGGGGGGAAAGGTTTAAGGCAAAAGTTTTTAGTTTTCTCCATAATTTCGTTGTATCTGTGACATGGAAAATGCGTCATGCATATCTTTGTGTGGTTTTATGACTGTGGGTATTGGCTGATGAATATATTGGAAGTTGGTAATTTAATTATCCAAAAGGCCAGGTGGCAATATAAAATAATTTAAATTGCATGGAAAAAAATATTAAATGTAATTCCCTATGAAGCCCCGTATTAAACTCTATAAACATGGCAAAGACATTAACATATCCTCTTAGAAAAAAATCAATCCTTCTCTTTAAAATGTTTCGAAAAAATGATATTAGTTCACTCACCTTTTGTACAAGAAGAGGTTGTGCGAAGTCGGTACCACCTTGTAAACGGAAGCCCCAGGGTTGAGCATCGAAGCGGGATAATTTAATTTGCATCATTTGTGGTTGAGCCATTTTTCAGAAATTTAACTGTAAATAAAAAAAATTAAATTCATTAAAATTCATTCAACAAAATTTAAAGGATAAAATTTAATATCTTTTTCATTTCATCACTAGTCTTAAATTGTATACCACTGACTAGGATAATCGTTACAAATAGTTGCTGGACATTGTTCGCTGTAAGGTGGATGACTACAAAATATTATGTTTCTTTTGTACAACTACGTTTTATAGCTTCAAGGATAATGATGGTTGAGAACGACGGATTAGTTTCATTACTAATTAGGAAATTTGTTTGAAATAACTTTTTAATTTATCCGTAGCCGGGAATTTTAATATTAAAATATTTAGTCAGGATATTTGATGTTAAAAAGGGGTATGAAAATAAAATGAAATTTTTTTTAATTTTGTGAAATTATGTCAAAAGTCCTTTACTCTACTCTATTTCGTAGCTTGCAAGGATTTAAAAAATTGTTTCCGATACATTTTAATAATTTTTTTTTTAATAAAATTTTAGAATTTTGAAATTCTATATTTATTTAGCGATCAAAAATGAGCGAAAAAAAATGAAGTCGGTTGATAAAATTTTGCTGAGATGTGTGTTAGGTCTGCAGATATTGAAAATGGACTTTTGGTATAGCCCCCATATACCTCCAAAATTCGGTACTTTAATGATTTGTGTCACACTTTTCACTGGAAATGTTTCAAATTACGAATATGAAGTTCCCAATGGCTACTATCATCTGTGACATAAAAGCGCATATGCAGGTGCACGACGTTCGTATTGCTCCCACATAACGGTTCCCATATAACAGTTGATAATTTATAAATTTCTTTTCAAATGGTAGAGAGCATTCCAAGTACGGCCCGGGCAATTTTTTTTTTAAATATTTAAAATATAATATTTTTAAGAGAGTAATTCTGATGAGTAATCGCGGATTTTGAAAGATGTTCTGAACTGTGATCGTGGATAATATAAAAAATATGCATTTGAAATACATTGTGACCTGTATTGGAGGATTTAGAAATAAATATATTTTCAAGAATTCGAAAGGGGGTTGGTGTATTATTTAGTCATATTTTGTGGAGGATATTCTGATACATTCCTGACAAAGACAAATTTTAGTACTGATTATGGATATTTGAGTAGGTGTGTGGATATTCCAAAATAAAACAAATAAAATTGCACCCAGACCGAACTTCTTATGCCCTCCACTATTTGGGAAGTAAGAATGGGGGCTATATAAAAATAATGGTTCATATAGAAATTGTTCTGTCACAGGGGTAAAAACTTTACGAAATCTAAATACCGAATTTAAAGTAATTCCACTAAAATCGTCAAATTAGCAAATATCGCGAGATACAATTTTATTGGGGTGATGCGTAAACATGGACCTGTATCAATTTTTTTTTTACCTCAGCTACTGAGGTAATATATAATTAATTACCGACAAAAGACGATACCTCTCGAAGGGTGTATCTGATTTGATCCAAACTTGGAACATAGTAATATTATTATCAAACATAGATCGAGTTCTGAAATGGTCCTTGTAGTCCACCCCCTCCCCCAAAATGTCAAAATTCTCAAAGAAAATTATTTACTGCACAGATAGAGGAGAGATAATACGATTTTACTCCAACTTTGCAAATCCTAATATTTATTTAAAATGGACCATATCGGTCCACTTCCTACAAAGGGTCAACATTTTGAATAATTATAACTCATATAAAATGTGAGGTAAGAGTCTGATTCTCTTCAAATTACACACATCACAATATTTTTATTAGACCTTGGGTGTGAAGATGGAATATATCGGTCCAGTTCTTCTGCTACCTCCCCGCAAAGGTGCCAAAATTTTTTTCATGGATATGAAGCTTCTAAAACGCGAAATTAACATCCGATTCCATTCAGACTGGGTAAATCTCAATATTTCCATCAATACAAGATCTGTTAAAAATATGGTAGAGATCGGAGCATTGGTACCTCCCCCAAAAAGGGTCAATTTTTTAACTAACCTAAACGTTCATAAAATCCGAAATAAGCATCTGGTTCTTTTCAAATTTCACACATGCCATTATTTTTACTAACACAAGATCTGTTGTGGTACTTCCCCCACAAAGGCTTTAAAATTTTGAAAAGAAAAAAAAAACGAAAAGAAAAACAAAACTACTAAATAAAGCTCGAAATAAACATACTACTCCCTTCTCTCACTCTTTCACGCATCCCAACATTTTTGCTCACGCAACATCTGTTGCGAAGATGATAGAATTCTGCCAAACCCTTCTGGTACCTCACCCACAAAGGCCACAATTTTCAATACTTACATCTACTACATGTCAGAAACGAATTAGACAATATTGGCCAAATGCCGCGAACCTCCCCCAAAAAGGGTCGTCAGCAGTTATGATAATCAAAACTTAAGGCTGGTGTATACATCTGTAGGCATATTCTTGGTCTAAGTTCAATCCCAAAACATGAGTACGAAAGTTCAGCACTCCATCTCAACTCCTTCGGAAGATAGAGAAGAATGAAAGATGAATATATATCCTTTGTTGGGTCTAAAATGATTATTTACATGAGTTACAAACGGAATGAGAAACACCCTCTAAGATATGGCGGAGAGTATAAACATGTAGATGGAACTTCTGCTACTACCTTATTTACCAACACCACTTGCATCTACTGTAGAGTGGATGACATCGGAAGTCATCTACTCTACAGTAGACGACTTCCGATGTCATCTACCCTTCAGTAGATGACTTCCGATGTCATCCACTCTACAGTAGATGACTTCCGATGTCATCCACTCTACAGTAGATGACTTCCGATGTCATCCACTCTACAGTAGATGACTTCTGATGTCATCTACTCTACAGTAGACTTCCGGTTTCATCTACTCTACAGTAGATGACTTCCGTTTTCATCTACTCTACAGTAGATGATTTCTGATGTCTTCTACTCTATAGTAGATGCCTCTTGATGTCATCTACTCTATGACTTTCGATGTCATCTACTCTACAGAAGATGACTTCTGGTCACTGACTTAGATGACTGTCAATGTCATCGGCTCTATATTAGATGACTTTCGATAACTTTTACTTTCACCTTCTCTGTAGTGTATGACTCCCTATATCATCGACCCTATGAAAAAAAAAACATCCCATACCATCCATTCTTTAATCGACAACCTTTACCCTCATGTAGGGCATCACTCCACTAGCTCTGCAGACTAGAACTCAAAATCAATAAAAATGGTTAGTTAACTCTTTAAAAACTCTGTTGAATGTGCATGGCCAACGGTTGTCAATCCATGAAAAGTACGACAACAACGACGACGACTACGAAACCCAACCAACGAACCAACACAAAGAAGTGGAGTATTAATTCAGTTTCATGCAATGTGTACTGATAATTGAAGGTATTTCATGCATGTACAATCCGATGATAATGCACTCACGTTTTAAAGTTATAAAATAAAATTTAACTACACATTTTTTGCACACTCGCAAAGACACACACACACAAACACCACTCACACATGACTTCATATACAGGCTGGCCATAATGAAGCAGACGATTTCCATTGAAAACTCATGGTGATAGTCATACATATATCCTACTATACAAAAAACAAGGAAGGAAGAACTCTTTTAAAAGTTCTTTTTGCCAAAGTTCGGATGCATGCCATTGCTGGGGGTATGGTTACTGTACACCTCATCTCATTCTCTTCGCCATGTTTGGAGAGCTCGGCCATGGCATGCGTGTATAAACAGTGGTGATATAGCTTTCGCATGTTATCGTTGAGTAACAGTGGCTTATATTGTTGCCCTACGCCATACCATGATAACCTGCAGCGGGTATCTCATCCACAACACGCCCCAAATTCTGGTAGTTAGTGATGCTGTAGATGGCATGCGACCATTGTCAGGGCCATTGCCAAGCTTAAGGGTTATCATGCGAAACGAGTGTGACGTTGTTGCTGCTATTGCTGCTGCCACCGCCATGCAAATCGCTTTTTCTCTGTTTGGCAGTAGATAATAAAAAGGGTTTTAGGGACATTCTCGTTTTTTTGCTTTGCATGCATAGATTGTTTTTAGCAAGCAGCTTAAAAAAAATCCCCCTTCTTGTCCCTCGCTATGTTTCCAAGAGTTTCACTTTTTTCTTAACCTGCTTTTTTGCAAATTTAAGCCATAATAGGTTGAAGTGCATGCCACTGACACTGCTGCCTGCCTGTCCGCTTGCCACTCTACTGCATTTGTTGCTACCAAATACACCGCCTAACTACATTAAGTCATTAAAAATCTGTCTAATAGGCAAAAAAACTTGCCACACACCACCTCTCCCGTACTCTAAGCGTTTGCATGAATCCTCCATGAGATTTTGTTGTCGTTGCCTAGAGAAGAGAAATCTAATGCACTGAGAGTCAGTCCAACACACATGTTGCTGATGGAGTAGATGATGGTGGAATAAAATATATCCTATGAGGACGTGTTGTACATTAGGGGGCAAGAGGGTGTATTAGGGTGGTATCATGTATGTATGTTAATAAAAGAGAAAAACGATCTGCTGGCTTAACTATAAATTGCTGAAGCAAAACTCTTTAAATTTTGTATTATGGGTTTTCTTGGTCCGAAGCTCTTAGATAAGGCTGAGTTTTTGGAAATTCATACTAGAACGAAAAGTACTAAAAAATTACTAAGTATGGTACCCTTTGTGTTTGACGAACCATTGGTACATTCATCAGGACCCTCATTCCCAATTTTAGAGTTCCATCTGTACTGGAACTCTAAAATTGGGAATGAGGGTCCTGATGAATGTACCAATGGGTTTTTTGGAAATTCGCACTATAAGCGTACGAAAAGTACTAAAATGTACTATATGCGATAGCATTTCGTATCATGTGACCGGTTAAAGCTAAACATTTGAAATTTTGATTGGGAATCAAGGTTGAGGAGTAAGGTTGATGTACGGATGTCGCTTTGGGTGTGTACTGAGGATTACGAAAATTACTAAACGGTACTAAATTTGG